AAAAAAAAAAAAACTTTACTCTTTTAAAATAATTTTCTTATGAATTTTGTCACAGAAAAAAGTAACATAGTAGGTTTCAATTCTACTGTATTAGAGTGAAAGCATCTTTAGGGGTATTAGACAAAAAAAACAATATTTGAAAAAGAGAGGCAGAAATTAGGAATCATTGGGCATGACTGGGGAATTGTGAGTCATAGCATTTGACTATAAAATAGGTTAACGTCAGAACAGTGCTAAGAATTAAAGCCTGACGAGATCTCTGGGGCCTTGAGTGGCATTGTAAAGATCCTGAACTTCACTGAGAGGTGAAAGCAGCAAGGGACCTACGAGAGAACTGTATGAGTTAGACAAGTGGGGAAAGGGAAAACCAAGCAGACACCTACCAGGCTACTGCAGCAGTCCAAGCAGGAAGAGAATGTCTAGATTTGGGTTACCATAACTGCAACAGAAGGGAAAGAGGGGAGCCAGGACTCGATTCAGAAAACAACGAGACAAATATAAAAAGTGAAATGAAGGGCCGAACAACTATTGCATAGGTTATGTCTATGCCATTTACACAGATAGCTCTGCAGGAGAGGACCTGGAGTCATTTCCAGGGACGCAGAAGGGAGCTGCTGGAGGGTGAGAGGGAGGAGAGAAGAGAAAAGAAATGGCAGAAGAGAGGCAAGGAAAGGAGAAGAGAGGAGGGAAGCAGAGGAGGGATCAAGATTAGAAAACCCTTCTCTGTGGTAGGAGAAGCAGCACTGTTACCGCTGTATGGGGGGGGGCAGTGCAAGAAGAAAGGGGCCAGAGGCCCACGAGCACCGGAGCAGGGTCAGGAGAGAGGAAGACAGGAGGAACGCAAAACTGACTCCCATGACTGAGAGTCAGTGGTGACAGAGCGACGCCGTCGGCTACCGAGAATTCGACCTCATCCCGGCTGGGGGTGCGCAGTTCAGCAAGGAGGACAAACGCCTCCCCCAAGGAGGACAAACGCCTCCCCCAAGGCCAGGGGTGGAAGGCGGTGGATGAGGGCCGAGGTGATCCTGACAGTGAGGGAACGGTGCTGGGGATGTGCTGGCCCCAGAGAGCCGGGGGCATCTCTGAGGGTCTGAGAATCGGAAAGGCGTTAAACATGGGCACTGGGGTGGGGACGAGGGACACAGAGTTAGGAAGGAGAGGAATGCGCAGAACGCCGCAGTTGATTCTTCTTGGGCTCTGCGTCCCTGGCGCTGCAGGCCTTGACACGCAGACCCACGGCCCCTCACTGCCAGAGGCGGCTTCAAAGCCAGGGGCTAGCAAGGAGCCGCAGCCGGAGTCCCGGGCCAAAGACCATGCTACCTAGCCTGTCTTGAGAGCCCATTCCAGGCCCCTCATGCAGAGCACAGACGCCAGAGCACAAGGCGAGGTATCACTGAAAACAGGATTGGCGCGGAGCCATCTTCCTGCCTCTCCCTGCGCTAAAATGTGAGAATCGGGAAGCATCTGGCCTCCTTGCCCGGGAAGAGCGAGACATGTATCGAGATACATAAACCCTAAAAAGCCCGTTGTAAAGGGTGGAATCCTGAAAATTTGTATTTTGATAGCTTTTAAATATTCTGAAAGTGAGTGCTTCCAGGAGTAAGGTAAATAGTCCCATTTTGAGGGGCATTTGATTAAATTCCAAACATATCAGTGTTCCGGGGTGCGCCTGGGGGCTCCGATACCTCAGAGCGGCTTTGCCAAGAAAGAACAAACGTGCAAGGGCCCGGGAGAGACAAGGGGACCATTCTCCCAGGGGCAGGTTGCAGGGCTGCGCAAAAGAGAAACTCTCCCACTTTTGTCTGCCCGGTGGCGGAGACCTGAATGGGACACATTCGCGGAGCGCAAGGGCTGGCGCTCGGGAACAATAACACTTTGTGCTCCGTTCAAAGGACTCCGAGCCCTTTGACGAGCCTTGTGCTCTTGCTTTCTCTCTGGACTCCAAGAAGATGAGGACTAAACAGGCCCAGGTCCCCGCAGGAGCTACCTCTCCACCTAGGTCCTCCTCCTGCTGGGCCTCTGCTTCTTCTCATCCGGCTCCTGGCCTGCCTTCCTTCGTACCTGCCCTCCGTCCTTCTTGCCTGGGAAGAAACGAAATTACTGAATGCGTGCGCGGGCGGGCATTTTCTTCGTGTGATCATTTTGGAATCCTCACTCAGGTTCCATAGGCGAGCGACGGTCAGCACACTGAGCAATAAAGTCTGCCTCCCACCAACCAGAGCCTGCGCTGAGGCTGCCCCAGAGTGGGAGAGCCTCCCCGCTGGACACAACTTCATCTTGCTGGGCTGTGGAAAGCCCCAGTGCCCAGTAGCAGGGACTTGGGGCACCGCCTTCTACCAGTTAGAGCAAGAAAATGTCAATATTTCAACCATCCGTGCTGCTGAACATTAATCCCGACTTTATTTGGTGCATTCAAGTGAGACTGCAGAGGTTCCTAGTAACTTCCTTAGCCACCTGTTGAGTTCAGGGTTTGAGACTCAAGGACTTCCTGTCTGGCACTCCCCTCCCCCGCTCCTTCCGGTCTCTGGCCACTTCCTGCTTGGTGAGGAGAATCCCAGGTTGACCCTTGAGGGTTGGCAGGGTATTGGAAGACTGTCTCCCAGAGAAGTCCTTCTGTTAACTCTGTGCTGTGTACTGTTCAAGCTTTTCTCAGCAGTCGCAAAGTCAGGGCAGATGACTGAAAAGAAAGCCTATTGTCTCTTACTCTCCCCACAATAAGGCAACAGCTTGTTTACTGTTCTTCCTTACACCCCAGAGGCCAGCACATGATTGAATCCTGGTGCAATTTTTTGACTAAATGAAGGAGGAAAGGAAGAAGGAAAAACAAAATGCCTTCATGCCCCACCTTGTTGGGTTGGCCCCTCCCGGAGCTCAGCAGGGCATCAGGGATGTGGAGAGCCCAGGTTCCACGGCACAGCTGCCCGGGGTGGGGCCAGGACGGGGTCCTCCTGAGCTCCCACCATGGTGTCTCCTGAATGTTACACGGCTAGCAGAACTGGAGAAGCCACAGGGAATCGTGTGTGCAGCCTGTGCTGTTCCAAGTGATAGACTGCAGAAGAAAGACAATCAGGAGACCCAGGTCTGGTTCTGCCACTTGCTGCCTCTTCCACACCCAGGTCACCAGACTCCTGCTTGGGGCCATCAGCCACATCACCCAGATGTGCTACCTGCTCTCACACTCCCTCTATTTCTCTCTCTCTCTCTCTCTCTCTCTCTCTCTCTCTATCTCTGTGTGTGTGTGTGTGTGTGTGTGTTTGTGTGTGTGTACTGAGGCTTGAACCAAGGCCTTTGCACTGAGCCCTTTTCTATTTTGAGGTAGAAATTCACTAAGTGACTAAATTGCCTAAGTGGGGTTGGAACCTGCAATCCTCCTGCCTCAGCCTCCCAGAGTGCTGGGATTATAGGTCTCCACCACCATACCCAGATCCTTGTATTTCTTTTAAAAATGAAGCCCCCAGCCCCGGAAATTGTGTGTTACTTGCTTGGCACCCTCACTACTTTCAAATATGACATTTAGTGGAAAGAAAGGAGCAACATCAAGCTCTAGAGAAAGCCTATTCACCAGCTTTCGCCCTGAGGCCTCCAAAGAGTAAGGAATTGGGTGATTCTGGGCTGTTCCCTCATTTTCCTTATCACAAAAGAGTGGAGAGTGCGGTTTCTTCCCTGGAAACATTAGCCTCACCTGAGCCTGTTAGAAAGGCAGCTTCCTGGTTACATCCTACTTCCAGTTCCCAGGTGATCTTCTGGAGAAGTCCCTACCCCAGCCGGTCCTTTCTCCTGCTCTCCCTCCTCCGAGCCTGTGGCGTAGTCTGGTTGGTGATGACATTCTCTGGCTACCACGGCGTAGGGCTGGACTGACTGTTCTTCTGCAATTGCTCCCAAGTCAAGCAGCCCTGAGTTTGTGGAGCCATAGCTGAGCACATGGCCCGGAGAAGGGGAAGGAGCACCCGCCTCTGCGCTTCCTTCTGCTGCAGCCCCAGGGAGGGAGTGAAGTGAGGACACGGGCCAGCTGCCAGCTCTGGGCTCCAGCCCTTGGAGATCTTTGATGTTCCCTCCTGGGTGTCTGAGGTCCCTGTTTTCAAGAATTTATCGGAGTGACCCAGACGTAGCAAACTTGCTCTGTGTACCTTGGACTAAATAACTGCCAAGGCGATCCCGTGAGGGGCCTTGGATTGTCAGCTTGAAACCTGTTTGGAGTCGACTTCCTCTGGCAAGCTGCTGTCAGACGCAGAAAACAGCCTCACCGGTGTGGCACAGCCTAGAATCCTCCACGTTTGCGTTAGGTGAGAAGCCTTGGCAGAGGCAAGCAGATAGCAGATACAAAACTGGAATAATCCTGTCCCTGCCTCCCTACCTCCCACTTCTATCTCTTTCCCCCTTCTCCTTTCTCAAGCCCCCACCCCTGAAAAGATAACTTGGGGACTCAAGAGGAAGATGATTTCTCTGCATTCTGGAAATTCTGACACACTGAAGACAGAAAGAACCGAATCCTTGCTCAGCTGCCAGGGTCCGATCTGCTTTCCCTGCCCGAATGACTGCAATCGACTCAGCTCACTGATCCAGGCTGCCAACCACAAAAATTACTCAACTCTTGACCCTTCATATCTTCATTTTCCTCCCTCATCTAGGTTCTTCGAGTTACAAAACCTCCATAAATGGATAGAGAGATAGTTGAGTGGGATAAGGCAGGAATGATACGGTCTCCGTTGAAGACGGCAGGCAAAGGTCCCAGAATGAAAGTCATGAGACTTGGGTCCCAGCCAGGGCGTTGCCCCTGGTGACTTGCTGGGAGATTGTAGCCGGTTCCCTCCCCACTGCGGGTCACTGCAAAACAAGAGGTTTGACAAAAACAGATCTTTAGGCTGTTTTCCAACGCTTTGATACCATGACTAAGCTGATATAATGCAGTTATGTCCTATTTGTGGTTTTTAGTGTCCGCGTCTGGATGCCCAGGTTTAGGGACAGCAGGTGTAAGTCAGCTTGTACACCAGATTCATTGACGGCTATGGTCTGGAATGTGGGAAAGGGTGTCATGATCTGCAGGTCTGCCCCAGGCGGGACAGGGAGGACGGGAAGGCCAGAGAGTTCTCTTCCCAGAGCCCTTTCTTCCCTAGCTCTGTGGCCACTAGCAGTCATTTTATACGTATGTCTGTTTCGTGATAGTTTGGTTATCTAACATGTAAATGCCATCCTGTGATAAAGTCTGTTGTCTGGTATGGTGCCTGTTACCTGACAGGTGCTTAGTAATATTTTGGAATAAGTGAATGAGTCTAAATAGCTGAAGGACCTGGCTACAGCAGGCACCAGGAAGACTTCTGCAGCCCTGCACACAAAATCAGAAGCCAGCCTCCGCCCACATCTTCTAAGAGCCCTTGCTGACTCTGAGTCTGGTTCTCTTTTCAGACAGATAACAGTTCTGTAGTCTGACGGGGAAGAGGGCAGTGGTGGGGGAAAGAGGGGTTTTACCAGCACTCAGCAAACCCCTCTTCTGCATATTGCTGTTTAGTTGGTTGTTTTCACAGATGGCTTTACTAAGGGGCAAGTAGCTCGAGATCAAGGACACAGGTCCAGAAGGGGGTCCAGCTACCCCTCATTGCTCAGGAAGATCGTTCTTGAGTCTTAAAAACCTCACTCTGTCCACCTTATTTCTTCACTTGGATTAGAGAGTGCGTGATTTTATAGCTGGGTGTCGGGCTTTATGAAGTCCAGGAGGGAGGGAGGCTCTCTTGGTTAGCTTGGCTCTGTGGCTTGGCAGTCACACAATAAAATGACTTTATCCCCAAACCAGATGTTTTTTTTAAAAAAAAAAAATCTTATGAAACCTCCTCCAAATAAAGAAAAAGCATACTCTATCAGAGCGCTCCCATGATTAGAAGTTTGACATCTGCTATCTGGCTTTACCCACCAGAGGAGAGCACCAAGATGAACTTGGGTCACACCCCTCACACAACTCAGACGTGGTTTGGGACGATTCAGATTTTGTTTGATCTCTGAGTAAAAGCGCCAGAGGCCATCAGCATAGGTCCCTACTGGCTTCTGAAGTTTCTAGGAAGGCATTGGTCTCTGTTCCTGGTAATAGCGTTGAGGCCTGGGGTAGATCCTTGCAGTGACACTGACTCATGATCAGCCTCCTAGAAGTCTCACTTGACCTTTTCGGCACATGTGACACAGGAGCCCATGGCTGCTGCGGTCTTTCCACCCCAGTGACCTAACCCTTTGTGTTAGAATAGTGAACTTGTCCAGACTTGTCCAAGTCTGCACAACGTGCCCGCCTTGAGCAGTGGTTAGATCCTGCTGGTCAGAGGCTGGCCCGCTTCATTCTGGTAGCCTAGAAAGTTTTCTTCTGAACCAGGGATTTGGGGTTCAGTTTTACATATTCCCCAGTAGCAGTACCCGAACTTGCAACTAGACAATTCTGATTAATGTCTAGACTTCAGTCCTCTTACCAACAGGCACCAGGTTTATTTTCTCACCCCAATACCCCTGGCCCATAGAGAATGCTTGACACAGACAGGTCCTCCATTCATAAAAGTCAAGAAAAATCAATGAGAACATGAGAAGAATGAATAAACACACCCACGAACATCCTTGTGGTAAAGCCCTTGAAAAGTTGAAGGTAAATTTGAACTTTTTCTTAATTAACTTATGAGGTAAACAAATTATTTCTTGAGCGTGAGGTGCAGGACACTGAGAGAGCAGAGTGTCTATCTGGAACTTGCACACTCATGGGGAAATCAGATTAGAAGGGACATGCTCACAGCTAAAAATCTGGTGCTTGTATAAAATAGAAGAGCAAAGGAGGCCAGGGATTTAGCTCAGTGATGCCACTGCCTGCCCCATAAGCACAAAGTCCCGAGTTCGATCCCCAGTGTCAAAAAAAAAAAAAAAAAAAAAACAGAGAGAGAAGAGCAAAAGGTTTATAGTCTATCAGAGAGCAACCTTGGCTCCATGTAGAAAAGATTAGGGAATGTGATCCAATCTGTAGGGGAAGATGAGGGAAACTCAGCTCCAGGAATGACCATGGAGACAGATCCTCAACCCAAGCATGAAACACATTTATTCCTCCTTATCACAGCCGAGTATGGGTGACAAGAGCAGAGAAGTTACCATTCCTAGATGGCCTAGGCAGGAATTGCACCACCTACCCAAGCCATAAGCTATGTGACCTTCAGCAATTCATTTAGCTCTTCATGTCTCGGTATCTTTATTGTAGAACAAGAATAATTGTACCAGCAGCCTTGTGGGGTTGCAAGAGGAATAAATGAAATGAAAACATGCAAAGTTCTCAGATTAGATCTCATGCATGGAAATATTCTGTCAATACTAGTTATTATTGGGCCGGGGATGTAGCTCAATGGTTCCACCGCCTGCCTTGCAAGCCCAAGGTCCTGAGTTCAATCCCCGGTACATATATTATATATATATATATATTAGTTACTATTGTCATTGTCCTTCCTGGGTAGGACTCATGTCAAGTGCATGGTTCAGGGTCAGTGGGAGAGGGATTTAGGGATCAGGGCCACACTAGTTTAAACACCGTGCTGGTGGTGTCTAATGTCGGCCCACACTGCTGTCCTCCATGGGATGGTGCTGACCTCAGTGACAGCCTGGAGAGTGCAGGTAAAACTCTGGGGGTCTCACCACCCCACTTTCAAACCTGCTTCCTCACTTCCTGGAGCAGCCAAGGAGTTGCACCATCCATACCATCACTGTCATCGGCCTATTTATAAAAATGTGAAAATAGATCCACTTTTCCCAATGAAAATGCCTTTTTATTTCTTAGTTTTTGATTAGTCCAGGTTTGCAGGACATGACACTCACGTTCGTCAAGAGGAGTGGTCCTTGTGCGTGACACATCTTAATTCTTGATTATTCCTTCCCTCTTCCCTCCCCCACCTCCCTCCATCATTTTTGCAAAAGCTCCTTCTCCCCACGTCCCTTTGCCTTTCTTTTATTTTGTTCTTTACTTATAGTTTGGGTTTTGCATAAGATAAATCATGTGATATTTAAATTTGTGTGCCTGATTTCTTTCACTTAACATTAGGGTCTCAAGGTGCATCCACTTTTCTCCATGACTCAACTCTATCCTTCTTTATAGCAGAGTAGTGCTCCATTGTGTGTAAACACCACACTTTCTTTATCCTTTCTGTCAATAGACCTATAGGCTGCTTCCAAGATTCAGCTGTTATAAATAGTTCTGCTACAGACATGGCTATACATGTGTCACTGGAATACGATGTCTTTAACTGTTTTAGAAAGATACCTGGAAGAGAAATACCTAGGCCAAACGAAGTTTCTTTTTCAAATGTTGATTGTTAGATCCATTCAACCAGCCTTTGTTGAACACCTTCTTCACGCACGGGAGTGGAAGACGACTGACACATGTGTGACTGTTGCTCACAGAGCTGGGCAAACAAAGATGGGAAACCCACGGACTCTCGGATCAAACCTGATGCGACTTCTGGGCTTGGAAAAGTATCGCGGACGGAAAGGTGCTCATGAGACACTGAGGAAAGATTAATTTGATGGATGGCTTCACTAGGTTTTGCAGTGCCTCCTTCCCACTGCATCTTCCCACACGACGTCTCCTACTGGGGAACTTCCACTCCATGACTCATCCCTTGCAGTGCCCATTCTCCTGTGAATCTCTTAAAATCTTCCTCTAGTGTCGCTCAACAAATCTAGCTGCCAGTGGGGAAGCACACACCACTGGCATCATGAGGAGAGGCCCTCGTTTCCCACTGATTTTCCATGGAGAATGTGGAGGTCCCACTCAGGAAAGGATAGGGTTGCTATGAAGTCATTGCTGTGACCGCGCCATGTCCTACCTGGCATTTTCCCCTGGACAACCCAACACAGGGATGTCACATCTGGTCAACAAACAGACACAGAACACAAGCTCCCACCAGAGCCAAGAGGGCGGAAACGGACACACCCCATGTCTCCACCCTGTTTCATTCAAAAGAAAGGGGACCTACAGGTGTCTAGGAAAACGGGACCCCTAAGCCACCCCACAGTAACAAGTACTGAAAACTGCACTCAGGGCCAGACCCTGCTCCCTGTCTACCCAACCCTTCCCTCCCCTCTGTCCTTCTGCACCGAGGTTTAACTCTCATCACTAGACAGCCAACAGGCCAAAACGCCTTCCAAATAAAATCACAGTGTCTTCTCTCTTCAACCTCTGAGCACAGTACATCCAAACCATGTGCAAACTTCACTCCTCCATAAATCAATTGCTTCACTGGCAGAAGATGGGCTTGTGCTTAGAGATCACAAAATTCAAAGATCCCTATAACCCATCTTCTCCAAATGCCCTGATGGTCTCTTGTTTTATCAGGAATTTCACAACTCCCACGGTCTAGGGAAGCGTCAAGGGTCTGCACTCCAAGCCTCTCCGTTCCTCTAGTCTGAGAAGACCAGAGGACCATGGGAGATTTGCAATGCAGTGTAAGCTGTGTGGAGGAAGAGGTTTCTCTTATACACAGGGTGCCCACAGTACTATGTATGCTAAGGACTCTCCAAGTTTTGGAGGAAAAAAAAATGAGCTAGCAAGAAAATGAAAAATAGAACTTTGAAATATTTGGAGAAACATTCTAGAAAGTTCTAGGGGAATAGAGAGTGGTAGGATTATATAGAGAGAAATGAACGAAGTAAAAGGATGGAAGCAGAAAGACAAAGAGAACAAGAGAAAAAGGCAATGAGAAGAAGATCCCCATTGAAGTCCTCCACTGAAATGCACTTCTAAGTTCATTAAATGCAAATCTAAATTCAGAATCTGCAAATCTGTGCACCGATTTCCGCAGGATCTATTAGAATATCGTGGA